ACCCCCCCCCCCCCCCCCCCATTTCAAATGCTGATGTTTTCAATTCTCATCAAGGTCCAAGGTTAATGCATATAGGTGATATGTGACGTCCTATGGTGTCTCCATATCTTAATTTTCCTTCAGTCTCATCGTTGGATAGTGGTTAATTGCTTAGGATTATTCACCAAGCATATTACTAGGTCCATTTTGATATCATTTATCAAAACCGAACTTGATGATGAATTGACCCATTAATTTGTTTAGCCTATAAACATGTGGCAGAATGCTTATGCCCAAAATAATTTTAGTAGATCCATCTAGTTTGATGGTTTATAGGGATAGATAGACTGCATTAACTTGGGCTAGCATTTTGTGCCATGTGGGCCAACACTTTAAAATTTTGGATCGATTTATTTAATTGAGTCAGGTCATGATAGTGAAGACAAAGAAAAAGAAGAAAATAAAGGAAAACCAACATATGAGAACATACAAGGATGATATTGTTTCAGCTATCTACCAGGTTCAATCCGCATCTAATAAAACAGATTGTTTCGGCTTAATTCATCATGGTATGGATGATATTGATTGATACACTGCAGTACCCATGAGAACACAACAAGGCATAGATACACAGCAGTATTGGCCAGTTTAGATTGCAGGTAAATGGCATTTATGACACGTTTGACACCTCAATCCTTTGTTGAGTTGAAAAAGAAATTTGCTGAATGTCTTGATGACTTTTATTCGAAAATCTGCAAATACTTCTATTTGCATGCTACATAATTTAGTGAAATAAGTCCGAGTTATATTTTATACTAGTTCTATATGTTACTTGAATCATCTTATTTGGTCCTTCAATTGTTTGCAGAGCCATCTCCTTTACATACAACTACAGTTGTGGAGAAATGTACTCTTAAGCTGGTAGATGAATACAAGCACATGCTATGTCAAGCAACAGAGCCCTTGTCAACCTTCTTGGAATATATAACGTAGGTGTTACTCTTAAGAACTTTCTTACTCTATGCACTTTTTTGACAGATTTATTTATTGCCATTCCTCTTTGTTGACAATGTTGTATTTTTTTGGCTTTGCAAGATTATCTTTGTGTTGGTTCCATATTGTTTAGACCTTGATATAAAAATAACTCACCTGTTGTTCCTCACAGATATGGCTATATGATTGATAATGTTGTTCTTATTGTCACTGGCACATTGCATGAGAGAGACGTTCAGGAACTTTTGGAGAAATGTCATCCATTGGGAATGTTTGACAGGTATGTCCACTCTGTTTTTATCCAACGATGATCATAATTTGAGTGTTGGTGACCTTTTACACCTCTTCCACAGTATTGCAACCCTTGCAGTTGCCCAGAATATGCGTGAGCTTTACAGATTGGTTCTTGTTGATACACCATTGGCCCCATATTTCTCAGAGTGTATCACCTCAGAGGTACTAATTTTATCAGAATTATTCTTTTGTCCACCTTGGTTTTCTTGTAAGGTGAAAATATCCAGAGAACTTTGATGACTGGAAAAGGTTCGTTTGGTTTAACTAATGCACCAAGACTAGTTTCTTATGTCATTTTTTTTTCTATTCACAATTTTTGTTAGGACTTGGATGACATGAACATTGAAATTATGAGGAATACCCTATACAAAGCATACCTTGAGGATTTTTACAACTTCTGCCAGGTAAACAATTGTGATTGACTAGTGACTACAACCTTTTTCTTTTGTATTTAGAAGAATTATTTTATTGCGACACTCAAAATGATACAAAAAACTCAGTTGCCTTCTCTCCTTTCTCCTGCTTAATCAATTGACTATAACCTCAATAATGGAAAAACATTGTTGTTTATTGCTCTTGATGTAAAGTATCACTTTGAAACAGAAACTAGGTGGAGCAACTGCTGAGATCATGTCTGACCTTCTTGCCTTTGAAGCTGATAGGAGAGCTGTCAATATCACTATAAATAGGTGAGCAAAACAAAACCTCATGATTTTTTAAAATGTTGAACATACTGTTCATTTCAGTGATTGTCTTGAGCTTCATTTGATCAGTGATTTTTTGAAGATGTTTCGAGAACTTTTTTATTCCACAGCACTAAACTTGCATAAGAATATCTTTTTTTCTTAACTAATCTATGACATGGCTTTACAGCATTGGCACTGAATTGACTAGAGATGATCGTCGGAAGCTTTATTCAAACTTTGGCTTGTTGTATGTTTTATCATCCTTTTATTGTATAATGAGATTTAGCTTGTAAATGCTGTTTGCTCTCGTCTCATAGGTAAGCTTTTTCCTCTACAGATATCCTTATGGTCATGAAGAACTTGCTATCAGCGAGGATATTGACCAGGTAGGATAGTGTAATATCTTCCAGCATACATACATACATAAGTAGAACCACATACTTCATAAGCATTTTATCTTTTGTATTGTGAAGGTTGTTCCATGCTTCCAAGTTTTTTCATGAGTTTACTTCACTCGAAAAGAACACTTCTTTCCTGTAGCTTGTCTGTCCTTAAGAAATTGACTGTTCCATTTATCTACCATGTCTACAGAAAACTAGAAATGGTTATGGTTGAAGCGGGTGCTAGTTTAGGAGTTATTTCATTCTTGAGATAATCGATGAAAAAATTGTAGGTAGAAGAAAATTTGGCATACAACTTTTGTTAATTATAGGTAGTGATCCTGAAATAAGAAAAGAGCTCCTAGCAATACGTTGATGTGATTAAAGACATGACGGATAGGTTCATTGTGAGTTTCCTATTCCTATAGAGCTGCGTCAAGGAACATCTGCAAACCCCTGCTTTTCTATAGTGGGACATATTCAGGATGAACTATTATGGTGTGTTTTGTTGGCTTATGGTATTGTTTTGTTTCGACCATAAGTTGGATTAAACTTTAAACTGGAGTTTAAAACAACCTTTAGACTTTAAAGGGGTTTAGGCCAAGTGGATCAAGACTAAATGTCTAAAATTTAACTAGAATTTTAGTTAAATTCAAGTTAATGGAGCAACAAGAAATCCCAGAAACTAGAATTTTCATAATTCTGGATCTATTTTTCACTGAGAAGAGGAATTAATGATGATATTGTTTAATTGACTAAACTGGAGTGGCATCTACAGTATTGTTTGATCATCATGTCCCTCGGGAAGAATTTTATAATGCTCAGTTTTACTATATGAGCTAGAATGTTGGGTAGTTTGACAATTACATAGTCAAAAGTTGATGTTGTCAAGATGAGGATGTTTAGATTTAGATTAGATTAGTATGCCAGGAGAGGTTGATGGAAACCTAAAAAGACTTTAGTACATAAATTAAAAGAATCTTGATGGCTCCTAGTTCTACTAATAACAATAATAAGATTGTCCCATGTAGAGCTTAATGATGGAAGATGATTCATTCGACTGAATCCAAACTGTTGGAACTTTGACTTTCAAGCTCTTCTTTGTCCATATTCCTCTTGGTACTTTATTAGGCTGAAGAACAGTTCGAGAAAAGAGACCCATTGTCTTATTTTTCAGTTTTCTTTTTTCATTGTTGTTTCTATGCCTTCACATTTCTAAGACCAAATTAAACAAAAGGTTCTGGTAGGTTATTATGACATAATATTTTTTTCATGGTACTGGTACAATGATTTTGGTTATGATTCTCATCTTG